TAGGGACACGAAAGACAAATGGAACAGAGTCATGAGGACCAGGCCTGAGCATTAACTAGCTGTAATTAAAAAAACCCCACACCTATAAAAATGAAAGCAAAACTATTATCATGCAAATAGGCGCACTGTGACAAAACCACAGCATATAATAACTATGTAAACATTGCCAGGTATACCGATGAGATTAATTAACTGAGCAGGTATGTAATTAGTAGATTAAGGAATGAATTGAGGCATTATTTAAAAGCCTGATAATTACTTTAAATGCAATTTATGAGCACAGCACTGATTACAGAGCTAGCGCTTTTATCTCGAGAATCCATCGCAAAGGTGGCCGGTTGCAGGGCTGAGGGAAGGACCACGGGCAGGCAGCGAGAGCCGCGACACGTCAGGCGAGGAAGACACGGAGCGGCCCCGGCGAGGCAGCGCCGGCCGCGCCCCCACCGCCGGCCGGCCGCGCTCCGCACCGAACCCGCACCGCACCGGCCCGGCCCGGCCCGGCCCACTGCACCTCCGCCCCGCGCCCGGCGCGCTGTGCGCGGACCCCGCTCGCTACCTTCCAGGCCTGGCTCTGCCGCAGGTCCTGGAAGTCCTGCCCGTAAATGGACTCCAGCACCTGGAGCTCGTTCTCCTGCCGCAGCTGGTAACTCTCCGGCGGCTCCGCAGCAAGCTCCGCCGGCAGCTGCCGCCCGCCGCTGGCCCGGGCCATGTCAGCGCTGCCGGCGGGGGCGCGCAGCGGCCATGGCGGGGCCCGCGCTGCTGCCCTGGGACCGGAGCCGGAGCGCGGCCCGGCACCGCCTCCGCCGCGGCGGCACGAGGAGGAGGAGCCGGGGGCCGCGGCCGCCGACGCCGCGTGGGGCCCGGTGCTTCGTCCGGTGCCGAGGTGGAACGGAACCATAAGGATCTCCGAGTGCAACGCCCTGCTCCTCACGGGACTCCCTACACGAAACAGTGTGACTAAGAGCACTGTCCAAACTCTGGGAGACGGTGCCACTGCCACTTGCCTGGGAACCTGTTCCAGACCAACCGCCCTCTGGGTGAAGAACGTCTTCTAATGAGCTTCCATAGGATATGCCTCCAGGTATATCTGCATTACAGAGATACACAGCAAAGACAGTTGGATACCGTGTAGATTTTTTTTGAACTCTTTGTTATGACTCTTTTGAGAAAGACTCATAAAAGGGAAAAAATAACCACGAATTTCAGTATAGATTTCATGTAGAGCTGGGGCAGGATGCAAGTTCCCGTGAAAACTGTAGAAAGGCTCCCACTGACAGCTGTTGTAGTGAGTAATAGCAGGTGGAGGGCGAACAGTCTTTGGTTGAACTGCAAACAAAACAGGGAGGCCGGGTGTCCTTGGTGGGACCTGCCAGAGAGAGGCAGCTGGGGGCTGTCAGGGGAGCAGTGACAACCAGAGAAGAAAATGTGCTTTCCTTCGGTCACTTCACACGGTAACTACTGAAAAGGCCTGCCACAAGCGGGAGTCTTTAAAGTTTTGGGATCTTCACAAAGAAACCCCAAATAAATTCATACATACAAGCTTATCTATTAAGTGAGTAATCCCCAGGAAAAAAAAAAAAAAAAAAAAAAAAAAAAAAAAAAAAACAACCAAAACAGGTTGCTACCACGCACCCAGATATAGGAATGTAGTTTTGGTGACTTTGACTTTATTCCCTGACCTCTGGGTACAGACTTTTTGTTATAAAGAAACCACTCATTCACACTAATGATTGGTTTCTATAGCCGTCAATTTGTACCTCTGAAATTGAAAGTTTGTCCCACGCATACTTTATCATTCAGTTGCACTTAAATAGTGTCGTTAGTATCAAACTGTTAAATTGTATCACTGTTGTGATGCTGGTCTTTGTTCCTCATCATTCCTGGAATGTGTCCTTAGTGGCAGGGTCTTTCTATATCATCTGCTTTTTGGTGGGAAGTGGTCTGGAAACAGACCAAAGCTGTTTAGTGTTTATCTAGCACCAACAGAGACATCCTTTTGCTCAGTCATCTGTAACCTGGGGCACTGTAACTGATCACTAGAGTTTCCTCTCTGGTACAATTGGGTATGCTCATTACCAATCTGTATATAATAAATAAAAAGTTTCCCTGCGTTAAAGACTGGAAATAAAAGTGTCCAGGCCACAGATTCATCTTCTCTTCCACACAAATACACAGCAAGAATGCCTTGGTGATGCAGTAAGTAATTAAGAAATGTCAGCAAAATTTCCTTTAACGGCAATGATGGGTTTGTACTTCCCAAGCATGTGGTGTGGGGAACACAGCCCATCACATGGGAAATTTCTCCCCTGTTACACTGTATAGCAGTGGGTGGGCCAGATAACAATATGCCTTTTCAAGCTGCCTGACTTTCCCCTATTTTGTGACTTGGCAAAATTTTAGCCAGTTAAGATGAAGTGCTCTAGACCAGATGTCTACCTCAAACTAATTTTTCCGTTAATTACTTCTATAATGATTCATTGTTTCTAAGAAGAAAGCTAGAGTAAAATAACATAATCATAAAAACATTCTAAGAATTTGTTTTTAAAAGTCTTGTACTCCAGCAGGAGTGTGAAAATTTGATGAGGAAGAGACAACCTTTTTCAGTGCTGTGGCTTTGCTAGCTAACCTTCTGAAAACCTGCATGAACTGAACCAAATTACATTACTGCAGGGAGTCTTCACGTGCTCAGCACAGATTTACTGGAATACAATGGAATACACCTGCCTCAAACATGTGCCAGACTGCATCTGGACACAAGCTTCCCTTCCAAGATTTAAGGCAAAATTTAAAATTCTCTCCCACAACAACATTTAAGTTGAATTCTAGCAAATAAAATTTAAGTGATTTGTGAGAATGTGCTTTCACTTCCCCATGTGCATGGTGATGGGAAGTTAATCTTCCTATGAAGTGCAGGAGGGAGAGAAAAGGTTCTGAGTAGTAAGAGTAAGAAATTTGGCAGAAAATAAAATGTCTTGCATTCCAGCCAGTCTTCAGAGATCAGAGGGGCTGCATGCAGCTGGGCTTATTCTGATTATAACCAAATTGGCATGACATGGTCGTGTTCAATGGGAACTTCCATGAGCACAGATTTACAAATAATGTGATTTATTGAAGCAACAGAAATAGTCTGAATAAATGCACAAGCTATGATAGAGTTCTAATGATAACATTGTGTTAACTTGGGTAATAATAATAATAATAATAATAATAATAATAGCAGGTACCCGCTTATCAAGACAGCATCTCCACTTGGATGGAGGGAGAGGACAGTAGCCTGAGAACTGTCTCTGAGGTCTTTAAGGGTCTTTCTCCTTACATACTGTGCAGTCCTAACAGGTCTGCCCTCCTTACATACTGTGCAATCTGATCCCCTCCTACATTACCTATAGCATGGTCTAAGCAGAGCGTTGAGTAATACAGTAATTTATGTGGTAGCATGTACTTCATTAAGCTTATTAGCATATGCAGATATGAGCATTTTAATATTTAAATGACTTTTAATCAGACAAAGATTTCTTTTTTGGCCATGATGTCCTTCAAAGTTCCAGTTGTGCAATTTACTTCTGTTCATTTCCTAATTCAAACCCAGACCATCCTATGCCCACAGGGCCAGCTTGGCTTTAGCCAGCTCAATCTTTCTTGGCTATGCAGATCTGTGCAAAGACAATGCAGAGGATACACAGTGTAGGCTGTAGATAATAAGCATTAACTCTTGTCTTGCTCCTTGGTCATCATTTCATACCGATGGAGGAACTGAAGAAAAGGATGGCTGTGTGAGGAAAAGCAGCTTGCAGGTGACTGGGAGATGAGGGACTGAGGTCAGACTCTGGTTACAGACATTGGCCACAAGAATGCTGCAGGCAAAAAGGAGGAAGAAGCTTGTTCAGAAAAGGAAAGGTAAGGGGAAAGCATGGTGAAAGCTGCGATTATTGCCTAGAAAGTGGGGGAAGAAGGGACTAGGTGGACAAAGTGAATGAGTTATGGGTGAGAGGAAAAGGTAGGAGGGTGAGTGAGTCTGAGGCCACAATAAGTGAGTCAGAGATGTGAATTACTAGACAAGTGGCTGGAACAGTGAACTCCTAGAGGAATGAGAGGAGGCTGCGAATGGCTGGGCCCAAACATGGAGGTACAAGCAGAGGCTTGGCCAACAGCCTCCAGGATCTGTGGTGGGATGGGGCAATGGCAGTCCCCTATCCCTGTGGTCAGCAAATGCCTTTGAACCCATGGCACAGCAGCTAGCTCTGTCCTGGATCACTGAAGTTCACATTGCAGGAGACCGGGCGGATGCTACTGGAACACATCTCATGGGCCTGGGGTGCCTGAGGAAGCCTCGCTCTGCCGGGGCTCAGCACACGCATAGCTCCTCTTCCCGGGGCACTTCCAGACTGGCAGCCAGTGGCTGAAAAAACCTTTCTGGCCTAATTTTTGCCTAGCACTAACCCCCTCACCCCGCCTCAAGTCTCCAAATTGAAGGCAAACATGTATCCACTATGTGGACACACATCATCTGTAGAATCAATGCCCTTATTACGACTACTTAAGAGCTTTTCTGGAAAATTATACATTTAGAAAAAAAAATCTATTTTAACAAGTAACATGCTTATCTAGAACCCAGCACCGTGTTTTGACAGTCTGTCATCAGAATTAGGGACCTGTTTCAAAACACCGGTTTAAAAGGCGCCCGCCCGCTCCCACAGCCCCCGAGCGAAATGGCGGCGCCGCCGAGCGCCGCGGCCGCGTTACATGATGGCGGCGCGCCCGCCCTGGGGAGCGCGGCGGGCCAGCAGCTCCTGCTTCCCCCGGCTCGGGATGGCCGCAGGGTTTGGCGGTGCGGGGCCGCAGCGGCTCGGCGCCCGCGCCGGGATGTGGGAGCACGAAGGAGCAGGGCTGCCGCTGCCAGCCGCGCTGAGCCCGGGGCGCGCAGGGATCGTAGGATCGCTCGAGCGCCCCCCGCCTTGCGATCCAAAGCCCAGCTCATTTCCCCCGAGGGACAGCGGGAGCGCAGGGGCAGCCCCTGAGCAGTCTCTGGCCTCTCTGGACGCTGTGCGAGGGTCTCCGCGGCGTCCGGCGCCGCGCAGAGCCAGCAGAGACGGGAGGGAGCCGTGTCTCGCACGGGCGGAGCGGGCAGGAGCAGAGGAGAGAGCGGGAGCAGGTGTGCCCCGGGGAAAGCCGTGCTCTTCCTCTCTCAGAGCTGTGAGCAAAGCCAGAGCCAACGCCGAGAGTGCAGTGGGGGGACAGTGTTGGTGTCTCCCCAGTTTTGCAGGCCGGTTTTGCTGTGCAGTGAGCCCGTGGCCGTGCGAGCGTGTGCGCAGCGGCCGCGCCGCGACCCTCGGCAGCGGAGGGAGGATGAGCTGCGGTGCGGGGTGTGATTCTGGGGAGTGCGATCCCTTCTCTCGCATATTGCGGTAAAACATGCTGAGGAGACCTGTGGCGGGGTGAAGAAAAAACTATGGCACAGCTGATCGGAAGCAGAAGCCTGGCTTGTTTTCTGTTTTTGTTTACTGGCTGTCATGACTTACTAGGTGACAACGCGAACAGCCAGCCCTGCTTCTCGGGACACAGGAATGTGGTGAAGATGCCTCCGAGAGGCAGAGACCGGGCTTTATCCTCAGAAGCGTCTGTTTGCCTGTGGGCTCCGTTCATTCACTAAAGACAAGGGCCGGACAACCTGTGTTTTAGGGGGCAGCAAGGAAGGCGGAACCTCGCCATGGGGTACGACAGAAGCTGGGTGCTGGTGAATGAAAGCGACCATGCCCCGTCCCAGGCTGTCACCGGAGCTCTGGAGACGGGCAGCGCCTCGGCCGGGCAGATGGTGTGGCAGGGCGGGAATGTCAGCGAGGCGGGCGCCGTGAAGAGCGAGGAGCACGGTGAGGAGCAGAGCTACCGGCACTTCACCACCACCGTGCAGGTTGTCATCTTTGTGGGCTCTTTGCTGGGTGAGTGAGAGTTGCTGGAGTTCTCGGTTGATTTTATTTTTATTTTTGTTTTAAATCCTTGTGGTCAGGGACTGCGGACCAAAAGGTACCTGGCATCACTGGTTGCCTTCGTGACTCTTCTTGCTGCATTTCTGGTCCTCAGGTGTATGATTTAAAGTTCCTTGTAGGTTTTGATGTGTAAAAGGTGTTGCCATAAAATGTATTCGTCATGGATAAGAACTCGTACATTGGATGTATGTATTACTTAGTAACCTTCTCTACTAGAATTTAAACGGGCAAAATTTAGATGGGTTCATGACATGTTTATTTTCAGCTGCAATGGGATCTGTTCTCTTTAACATAAACAAGGGTGTGGAGTGTTTTAAAACAAGTTTTGCTGAATTTATGTTTCACTCTGCAGTAATTTGGCATTTGTGTCCCCCAGATTTTAAGTAAATCCTTTAGAAATACTTTATACTATAAATACGTATAACCATGTGCAATCTTACTTTACAGTAGGATCATATGTGTTGTCATTTGAATCATATGTGGTTGTAAGGTATTGCTATATAATTTTACGAATGTGTGTACATTTGCTTTCTCGATGCTTACACCAAATTTTGTTAGGAATATGTACAAATGTGCATTTATTAGCAAAAAAAGAGAAAAAAATTCCAAAACAAAAATCCAAGGCAAAATAAACCTTATGGTGAGCCAAGTTAGCACTGTTTGGGAGATAAGTAAGCTGGATTTCAGTAAAATGTCACTACTACCTCAATCATTCAAGGCTTTACACACAGGGCTTGAGTGAGAAAGCACCCCGCTTTTCTCAAGGGAGTTAATCAGGAATTTGCTGATGGTCATTGGCTCATTTTATCAAGAATTTGTTTTGGACCTTTTGGATTTTCCTGACCCTGAGTAATGCTAAAGTCCATTTTTGTGGTCATGGTAATAACTTCTAATATCTATATCCTTTTGGTAACATGTAATATTCCTTAAATAAGTTTTAAGATGATAAGCATTGCCATGGAACAGTGTTGAGTCCCAGTCAATGATGCACTTACTGGCTCTTACTGTAAATCACTGAGTTTTTTGGCATCAACTATTCCTCTGTGCAGTGGAGATAATCCTCATGGTTCTTGCTTTTTTTTCTTCTTAGCATATATTGTGGGGAAAGGATACTCTTAATATCATAGGTACTCTGTGGTTTTTTGTATGTTGGGTAGTACCTGGCACAAAACAATAGCCAGCAAACAGTGTCCTAAAATAACAAGACTAGATGAGGAAAGTCAGATTTTTAATTCTTTCTTTTTTTGGGTTTTGAACCTTACAGAGAATAAATTTAAGTCATGTGTCCAGATTTTGTTTCATGAGCATGGATCCTCCAAAATTATTTGAAGAAGAAAACAGACATTATCACATAGTCATTCCTTCAGCAGCTAGGAGTTCTTAAAAACCAACCAACCAAAAAATACCATAGGTACAAATTTTGCAAGATTAATGTAAGTTATGGTTTGGCCCTCCTGCAATTTGTTTTCAAGACATGAAGAAAACATTTCAAAATGTCACAAGGGGTTTATTTGCTGATTAAATGGCTGGGAGGCTGATGAAACTTCCAGATCAATAACTTTTCCAGGCCTGTCAAAGAGCTAAACAGGGGAGGAAATAATATACTTTCTTAATTATGAAAGTGCACTAGTCCAATGACAAATGTTAGCAGTGGGCCTTATGCATTTACAGTGATGGAAACCAATCTAAACTATTTTTTTGAAACTAGTAGCCTTTGCTACTAGTCTCCCTGTGTCCCTGAAGTGCTAATTTAAAACATTGATGATACACAGTATCATAACAGCTGAGAACTTTGGAGTCTTTAAAAATGTCTTCCCATATCAACCCAATGAATTACTACTATTTCTTTTTTACTGAATGGAAAAAAAGCCACATCTCTCATATGTGCCAGGAGTTTTGGATGTTCACACACTGGATAGAATCTCTGCATCACCAAGGGATAACAGCTGGGTATTTGCCTCACACTTAATGCTTCCAGGAATGCTGTTGTCATTTATCCTCTGCCATGGTCCTTGGAGCATGAGTGGCATCCAGCTCTTTTCTCCATCATGTGAGCCCCTCAGTTAAACTGCAGAACAGCAGTTCTTTGCTCTGGTGAGTCCCAGAGGGGCAGCCCTTTAGTAGGTGGATGAGACAGTCCTTCTCCCTAAAGCCTGAGATGGGGTCACGGCCCTCAGGGGTAGGATGTGTGGGTTTGAATCCTTTCTGGTTTGGGTGGATGTGCAGCTTGTGCATTTCACATCATCAGTGCATGCCCAAGGCACTTTGCTATTGATAAAACAGCATTAATTACCCTTTTAAAGGAAAAAAATTCAGCTTGAAATGGAACAAACCTATATGACTCACCCAGTCTTGATAATGATTGCAGGGGTCTGACATCAGCAGGAGTGTACAGCATGGAGAGGTCCAGGTCCTGCAAGAGGGAAGAATTGCAGTTGGTGTTGTGAATTTAATTTAGGTCCCTGCTGCGCACAAGAATGTTTTCAGCTGTGAGAGAGATGCCTGTTATGGTTTTCTTTTCTCCCATTTAAGACCTCTATTTAAGTCCTGTGGGAAGACTTGGGACACTAGGATAAATATTTGTGTTAGTTCTCACTGTGATATGACAGAACAGTGCTGTTTTGAGTGTTTCATTATATCTGCTGAAGGCAAGGAAGAGTCAAATTTTTTTTTTTCTTTATTTTAAGCTTGGAATGACACAGGGCTCCCTTTCCAAGCAACTAAAGTTTTAATAGCTTTCTTTTTATCAAAGAAGATTCCTGAGATCAGTTTTGCAGTGAATATAGGAGTACAGCAATACTGATCTGCAAGCTATTTTTCTTTGCCATTAGAAGGAATCAGTATGCATAGACTAATTATTACTTCAGCTTTGAAAGAAGAAAGAGAGTGTATCACTTCTTAGTTTTGGTGGGGAGAGGTCACTAGAGGTGGCTGCAGCCTCTTTCAGTTGAGTGTGAGCAGTAGGGTGAGATCTTGGAAATGAAGAGGGTCTCCAAAGAGCTCTTGGAACCAGTGTGCACAGTGAGCTTTCTTGGAAAGGGAGATAAAAATGATGGGTGAAATGCAGTGGACAATTGCACCTTCTCAGGAAAAGGGAAAGGAAGACCAGAAATAAGAGTTTGGAGGCAGATGAGGATGTGGGCTCTCTCTCTGAACATGGTTTTCCCACGGTTTACTTAGTTCTGCACATATAGTCACGGCAGATAAGTAGAGGAGCTTATGAGTTGTGTTTTTACTGACAATTTTAACTGAATGCTCATGTCATGTCAGGTTTAGGTGAGATTATATCCCATTGTAGAATTATATTGTAAAAGTGTTTGGGTTGGAAGGGACCTTAAAGGTCATCTCATTCTATCACCCCTGCCATGGGCAGGGATACCCTTAGTTAGAGCAGGCTGCTCAATGCCCCATCCTACCTGGCCCTGAACACTTCCAACAACAGGGCATCCACAACTTCCCTGGGCAATCTGTTCCAGTGTCTCACCACCCTCACAGTTTATTCTTCCATATATCTAACTGAAATTTCCTCTTTACTGGTTTGGAGTTTCTGTTCTTTTCATATTTCCAAGATCTGAGAATCAACATTTGTTCCTGAGGCTGAGTATGTTCACAATTTTCATGTTATATAAAACTGAATTTCTTCTTAAAAAAAATAATTATTATCAGTAGTTTAGGAAAAAAATCCACACACACAAAATTGATGCAATTTACAACGAGAAAGGAAATGTCTTCAGTGCTGATGTCTACTCCCCAGACTGAATATGCATCTTACTTTCTATGCATTTTTTACTAGCTGTATCCCACATAATCCCAAATCCAGGAAGCTTTCCCAGACATTTTAGATCTGTGCCTTATTTGAGATTTGGGGAATTAGGCTCTATGTTATTTGCTCTTTCAGCTTCCTAAATCTGTCCTATACAGAAGGAAATTTAACTGGAAAGGCTGAGGATGCTCTGCTAAAGTTTCAACTCTATTTCAGTGCTTATAGTGCTTTTTGGAAAGCCATGGGTTAGATTGGTTACCTCCTGGTTTCCAGCCATGTTTTGAAGGAAAATTATGTGCTTTGAAAGAGGTGTGCAAAGTGAACCTCTGCTGCCTTCCCAGGACAGGCTTGCCCCTTTTCATGAGGATTTCCCAGTCTCCCTCTGCCCCTGAAACTGATCTTCCCCTTGTCTTGGTATCTGTGCAGAGAGATGTAAAACAGTATTGCAGCAACTAATTTTTAAAGGGATAGGTCCCTTATGGGGTACAAACCTGAAGTAAGACAGCCTAGGTAAGAAACATTTGCCTAATGTTTGTAAAGGCAAATGTATGTTAGCATAAGGAATAGAATATCTATTTTTGAATAGCTACTAGTAAAAGCTTGTCATAGGCATCTTCTGTAAAGAATGGAACAGGGAATCTTGAAGTAAAAAATACTGCAGATATATGACTCAAGGCTAGACTGAGAGAATTTTTAAAGAATGAGGATCATGTCTGCAAGAGCTCCAGCCAAAATTTATAGCTATGCCCACAGAAAAGGGTAGAGTTACCTGATGGTAAGAAACAAAAAGGTCTGGGGATGGGAATTATAATGTTTTGTTTCACTGGTATCACACTTATAAGAAGTGTCCTAGATGAAATCTTCTAAAGCAGGAACTTTGCATAGATTAATTTAGTTCCTGATTAGCTGAAATAAAGTTTGGCAAAACAAAAAGTGACTGAAAATCAAGTCTAAAAGGAAGCATCAGGCAAATGATGCTGTGAGTGGTGGTTGCATGTACTACTAACTGCATAGTATTACCATCTTGCAGTCCCATAACATTGTAGTAATAATTTTCCCCTGCAGTTTTGTATGGGTGGTTCTGAGCCTCAGGAGTCACGGACTGTGCAGCAGTTAAGTCCAGTCCAGGATGCACCTTGGTAAAGTCAACCTGGAAGAGATGTTGTGCTTTTGTTTTTTGTGTGTGTTC